CATAGGACTTCTCTGCTTAAATTGCTCCAGTGGCTTCTCATGTCTTCGGGATGTAACAATGGAAAATTTATGGCAACCACGAAAAACATGTGTATACCAGAGTATTAGGCTAGCCTGGCCACCTTCTTACCTATTCTCCCCACCTGACTCTCTCTGCTGCTCTCTTAACTACAAATGAGTAATTCCTTTTTACAAGTTTTAAATTTGTATTAATAAAAGAGAATGTATTTCATAGATTACAATTCTAAGAAGATGACCATAATTTTTTATTATCACTTGATAGAGCTGGACAGTGAGAGGGAGAGACAGGGAGAAAGTCTTTCTTCTGTTGGCTCAACCCCCAAATGGCTGCCACTGCAGAGCTACACTGATCTGAAGCCAGGATCCAGGTGCCTCCTCCTGGTCTCCCATGCAGGTGCAGGGGCCCAAGCACTTGGGCCATCCTCCACTGCCTTCCTGGGCCACAACAGAGAACTGGACTGGAAGAGGAGCAATCGGGGCTAGAACCCGGTGTCTATATGGGATGCTGGTGCCGCAAGCGGAGGATTAACCAAGTGAGCCATGGCGCCGGCCCGACTGTAATTTTTTAAAAGTTTTATTTCAAATTCAGAAAGTTACACGGAAGGGGAGGGGGAAAGGAGGGGGAGAGCCCAATATGGGGATGGACCCAATAAAGGGATGTACAGAGGAAAGAGTTTAATAATACTGGCTGGGGCGGGGGTCTGTGAGGGAAGACTTGATGGGCAGCTTGGGCCATCTTCTCTTCCCAGGCCATAGCAAAGAGCTGGATCAGAGTGGAGCAGCTGGGACTAGAACCAGTGCCCATATGGGGTGCCGGTGCTGCAGGTGGTGGCTTTACCCCCTACACCACATCACTGGCCCCCGTGAGTAATTCTTTCATACAGCCCTGCACCTCTTCCTCCTTCCCCCTTTCCAAACTGTGGTATTTTCCAGAGTACATGATTCCATGCATCCTTGCATTTCCTGCAATTCTAGGCCAACACTCCTCCATGGCACATGGGAGGCACTCAGTAAATGGATATCTACTGAATCAGTAAACACAGGACTGGCTAACTGAACAAATGCAGCCAAGCAGCTCTGCAAAACTGTGCAATTTACTTTTTGTTGGTTGAAGTTTGGCTGCCTTGTGATCCTCATGGCAAACCGTGCAACCAGAGTGACATACTGAGCCAGCTGAACTGAGGAGGGGGGCTGCTTGTAGTCAAAGTAGAACAAACTATACTTCTGTAAGGAATTTTAACTCATGGCATGGTTGCACTTTGTAGGGTTTTAATGAAAAGAACAGTATGCAAGACAGCTTCAGAAAGTCGGGGGGGGGGGGTGGGGGGACCTGTGCGGTGGCATAGTAGGCTAAGCCTCTGCCTGCGGCACTGGCATCCCATATGCGCGACAGTATCCTGGCTGCTCCTCTTCCAATTCGGCTCTCTTGTGGCCTGGGGAAGCAGCAGAGGATGACCCCAGTGCTTGGGCCCCTGCACCCACGTGGGAGACCCAGAAGAAGCTCTTAGCTCCTGGCTTTGGATCGTCCCAGCTCCAGCTGTTGCAGCCATTTGGAGAGGGAACCAGTGCATGGAAGACCTTTCTCTGTCTCTCCCTCTCTAACTCTACCTCTCAAATAAATAAAATCTTAAAAAAAAGGGGGGGGGGGAGCAAATGGAATTCAAAGGAATTTATTTTGGTGCAAAAAAATGTTGAAGCCATGCCTGCTCTTTCATAGCATGCATTTTCACAGACTTAATGAGGCCCTTCACATAACACGAATTGCCTACAATCTGAACCTAGCTGTGTCAAACAGAATCACATTCGCGAAGCCCGTGCTGACATTTTCAAGGAAGCTGGAGCGTCAGCAGCGCCCAGTCACTGCTTTCCTGCTTTCCCCTTTTCCCCTCACTTAGGCAGGACAAAGGTCTCTCTCCACCCAGGGCAGGAAAGAGCTTCCCTCCTGGACAGTTTTGTTGAGGGAGGGGATGGAGGGGGCGGAAGTGGGCTTGCAGTGGGATTTCCGGCTCAGCCCTGTGGGAGACAGGATGCAGGCGAGCCGAGTGCTCCAGCCCCTCTGCTGCTTCCTATGTTCTGCAGCATATATGGGGGCCCATATGATGATACCGCGATAAATGCATTGTCCTGCAATCTAAACTGGAGGGGGAGGAAATGCCTGGCATTTATGATACGTCTGCCTGCTTATTCACTGAGAGTATTGTTTAGGGCACATAATAAACACGGTGGAGATAGTTTGAGATGCGTGAGAAGATAATGTCCCAGTGAAGGGCTAGGGCTGCACAGGACACAGACTCACAGTCAAGGCTAAGCTTGTCCCCGAGTCTTCCCCTCAACGTCCCTCCCTCCCATTCCAGAACCTTCTCATGTGTTTCTAGTCTGACTGCCACCCCCTGGCCTCTGACCTCACCCCCACCCACTTCCCTCCAACCAGAGCAAACAGCCCATGGTTCCTGGAGATGCTCACTCATGGTGCTGGCTACCCACGGCGTCTTTCTCCCTTGCCCCTTCCTGAACCTGAATAACCACCTTTGTCAAACAGATCAATAAGAAAGGCTACAAGAGAGCCTCTTTGCTCTTCTCCTTGACAGGGACTTACCATTGCTAGCTGTCTTACTCACATCACTCACTTAACCCTCACAACCCTAAAAGCCAGTGATAATGACCACTTTCCCCATTCTATAGATTGGGAAACTGAGGATCAGGGAAAGAATTTGATTACTCTCACCCATGGGATTTGAACTTAGCCCGATTCAGAGATCTCACTCTTATTTAGTATATTCCATTTCCTTCCTGCTATTGGCCAGGTACCAATCCAGCCCTGCCTTGGAGGAGTTTGAAACATGATGAAATGCTAGGAGAAGAGGGGGCTGGGGGAGGAAAAGGCAGGTTGCTCAAAGGTATCAGCCAAGGCAGAGACAAGAGCTTAAGCAAAGGCACCATGGTGGATGCTGTGGTATGCCGCCCACATCTCTCTTTCTCCATTGTATGGAATGGTGGATGCCAATGGCTCACATGAATTGCCCTTGGCTGGAAGTGTGGGTGATCCTGTACCTGACGGGGAGTTTGCCTGCCTTGCACATGCAGGAGTTTGAGAGGGCATGGCGCCACTACGCCTCCCGGGAAGGATCCCATGAGCTGACTGCTGGCAGGCACCGGGAGCCCCAGGCCCCCATCCCCCCACCCCATTAAAGGGCTCTGTAATTGCCAATCAAGTAAACAGCTCCTGGGTGTGGCCCAGGCCCATTAGGACCACCTGGAAAGCTATCCTAGCTATGTGACCTTGAAGCTGATTGGAGAAGCATAGTGGCACCAATATCGGTTCTATCCTATAGAATTAGTGTTGCCCTGAATTAGTTACACCCCTTCTGCCTGCCCTTTAAAAAGTGTGCATGGTTATTAATAAAGCAGACATGTTCACTGGAACTTGTCTCCAGTGCTTCCTGTGGAAGAACACCGTTCCCCACCATCCCGGCAATGTGCGGGCCTCGCGAGTGGAGCCCTTGTGGAAAGAGTTGCCTTGCCAAGTGTTAGGTCCCCTCTCCAGAGCAAGTCCAAATTCAAGGACTGGTCAGTAGGTGAGTGGGCATAAAGGCTTAGCCCCTTTGCTTCAGTTGCAGACAACTCACAAAGGCCAGCCATCTAGCTCCAGAGCTCCTGTGGAATTGGTCAAGGCACCTTGTGTGACTGCATCACAGTCAGCTCCTCCCTCCGGGGCAGGGGTGTCACCAGGGAGCACGCCCCGAAACCCACCTGCACACAAGTCCCTACTCCAGAGTCCATGTCCCAGGGGCCCAACCTAAGACAAGCATGCAGGCACATAGAATGTACCAGGAAGTGAAAATAATCTAAGACGGTCCAGGGTATAGGATGTAGGCTGTGTACAGGTAGCTCCTCTTTCATTCTCATCCACACACCTTATAAAGGCCCTGGCCTGCACAGAGGCGTGACCTATCATAAACTGCTTAAGATTTAGAGGAAATGACAGCCAATAACCCGAGTAAACGGCAATGAAAAAAATTCTTGGGGATCATATGTTTATCAATGCTTTTGGCATGTCATAGTGAAAAAGGCAGTCTTAAAAAACATCCAGGCCAAAGTCCCTCCAGGGACCGTGTAGAAGGACAAAGCCCCAGAGAAGTGAATTGGCCTCAGGTGATCACAAACACTGCCAGGGCCTCCCCAGAACCCAGGTTTCCTGGCCTCCATTCATGAGTCTCCTTGGTAGGCGTATGCCCCATGTCTAGCCAGAACTGTAAACCTAAGCCTTTGATGGTGCTGCTAAACTCTGTCCTTGCACAGGGGCTTGTCCTTAGTCCTGCAAATATGCTCCTCAGACAGAGCACCTCCCAGCGTCCCCCAAAGCCTCCGGCAATCCCCCACGTGGCTCTGCACCAAAACAGCCTGCTTTGCTGGTAACAGGCACGTCAAGGCTCCCTGTTATGCCAGAGCCCTCTCACTTCCCCTGCTCACCACCAGATCAAACCCAGCTGCTTTCCCCAAGCATCGAGGCGAATGTGGAAGCATAGACATCATGACTGGCTCTACTCTCTCCACTCCAGCGCCTGTTCAGTGCTTAGTGCTGGCTATGGCTAGGGCGGTGGTTGCTCCTCTGCACCCCGCTCCCCATGTAGTGAGACACCTCCCTTCTCTTGCAGAGAGGGTTACCAAGTGAGCCAGGTGCTGGTTGGCGCATATGGTTTGACAGTTGATGATCCTTTGTCCTTTAACCTGATATGAGGGACTCCAAGCCCATCTGTTTGCAGCAGCTGCCGTACTCAGTGCCGGTAGTCATGCCTAAAGCTGAGACTTTGTTCCTCCATTTGGCCCTCTCTCTGTTCTTGACAATTATTAACCCACATAGGCAGACTTGCATTGATGTCTCTCCTCGGAGTAGGCACCGTGATTGTCCTTTCCCCGTTACAATAACTCACTACCACAGACTGTGCAAATGTTAAAGAAAAAGGTTAATGGTGACTCACGTTTCTGAAGGTTCAAAGTCAATGGGCTGCATCTGGTGATGGTCTTCTTGCTGGCAGAGTCCTGAAGCGGCACAGGACGCCACGCGAGTCAAGCCACAGAGCGCGGAGTGTGATGGGCTCGTCCCTTATAAAGCCACCAGGATCCAGTCTGTGCTGATGATCTGATCCAGTGCTAATCAGCTCCCAAAGCCCCTACCTGTGGATGCTCTAGCGAGATTTTCCACCCTCTTCACACCTCTCAATGGGAATGGGAATTAAATTTCAACATGAGCTTTCAGAGGGGACAAGCCAGTCAAACCTGAGCAGGCAGATTCCCGGAAAAGCCGCCAAAGCAACATTTCCCCAGCTGGGCTGTTTTGTCAGCTTTCTAACAAGCACTCCATGGGTGGGCCAGGGAGGGTCCTGTGCTCAGAGAAGCCAGAAGCTGCGGAAACACTAAATGGTTACCCTTCTTTGAAAGATGCCCTTTGCTCTTTAGGGTGAAAATTCCTATCTTAAACTTCCCTGCTTATGGCCGGCGCCACGGCTCACTAGACTAATCCTCTGCCTGCGGCGCCGGCACCCCAGGTTCTAGTCCCGGTCAGGGCACTGGATTCTGTCCCGGTTGCTCCTCTTCCAGTCCAGCTCTCTGCTGTGGCCTGGGAGTGCAGTGGAAGTTGGCCCAAGTGCTTGGGCCCTGCACCCACGTGGGAGACCAGGAGGAAGCGTCTGGCTCCTGGCTTCGGATCAGTGCGGTGCACTGGCCGCAGCGGCCATTGAGGGGGGTGAACCAACAGAAAAAGGAAGACTTTTCTCTCTCTCTCTCTCACTGTCCACTGTGCCTGTCAAAAAAACGAAAAAAAAAAAAAAAAAAAAAAAACTTCGTTTACCTATGACTTTGATTTATTTGCCCAGAGAAACTTTTTTTTTAATGGAGTCTGTGAACTTTGGAGGGATTTCATTGCCCGTCTTTCTCATTTGCCCTTGTTCAATGGCTGAGCTTTCTATCTTTCTGAAAGTGTCCCTTCTTCACACCAGGGTCTGGGCCTTGCTACTAGGGCTTTGCTCCCTGCTCTGATCTGGCAGTCGGGCTTTGGCCCTCACTTTGGGCCTGAAGTCCTCCAGCTCCCGGCATCCGTCTTACCCGGTACATCTGTGGCCTCTCTTCTTGGATTCTCTGTCGCTGGGTTCAGTCCACCTGTTAGCACCCACAGCTGTTTATTCTTAAACTCCCTGTTCCTGGTTGATGCTGTAGGGCTGTGACCCAGGAGGGCTTAAATACTTACCTCCCATTTCCCAGCTAAGCTCAGTCTTCTTATCAGCTTCTGCAGCTGGGGCAGATCCTGAGGTCCCTGCCTCAGACTCTGGCCCCTTCCCATCTGCCCCATGTGGCCATGAGTGAGTGGAGCATCAAGGAGGAAAGAAGGGGCCTTGAAGGGAGCCCACAGTGAAGTGGTGGCAGCTGAGCGCACCACGGGGCTGCCAGGACCGCTCTGTGCGGAAGCAGAGAGTGTGTGTATCGGGACCCCGACCCGTGCAGCCGCCCAGCTCTTCCCCTCCGCCCACCTCTGCCAGGTGGCTGGAGTTAAGCAGGGTTGGGGGTTGGCACCAGGGGCTGATGACTGCCTCTGGGCCACACAGATGTCTGACTTGCTGAATAAGTAGTCTGTGACATCAAGAGCCTACTCACAATTGAGGAGGGTGACAGAGACCTGGGGATCAGTGTGTGCAGTCAGGGGTCAGGTGTCACAGCTCAGTTGAAGGAGTGATAATTTGTCCCTTGTTTTTAGTGCTGTAGATGTTTCCCCTCGCTCCTCCGTCTTTCCCCAAGCCTCTCTGTTCCCTTGCCCTGCCTTATTGAGAGATTGATGACATTTATTCTTGAAGGGGAGAACTTGAGATGGCCTGGTGCAGAGAAAGAGGCAGAAATAGCCCAGTGAGGGCGAGGTGGGGGGAGAAAATTTTGGAAATGTATTTTTCAAGTCTGATGAGTAATGAAGCCCTTGCCGTCTCCTAGCCAGAGGTGCTGGGCTCTTGGATGGACTGCTGTGACCATGGGCTACAGTACTGGGGCCACGGCACAAGACCGCTCATATATTCTGGGCTGATTTACCGAACGTCTCCTCTGTGCCAGGTGCTGTTGTAGATTCTGGTTTCAGAGAGAACTTGGATGTAGGAGACCTCGATACCAACACTGTCCACAAGACTTAGGCTTTTATCTGAAGCGTTGTGAAGTCACCGCAGGCCAGTGTGGATTTGGAAGGGTCACTGTGGCCTCTGTGTTGTGAACAGACTACAAGGGGCAACAGCTGAAGCAGGTAGGCCAGTTAGGAGGCCCTTTCAAACATTCAGGGGAGAGGTCATAGTCATTTAAACTCTGGTGATGAAAAGGACTTAGGGGCCGGCACCGCGGCTCACTAGGCTAATCCTCCGCCTTGCGGCGCCAGCACACCAGGTTCTAGTCCCGGTGGGGGCGCTGGATTCTGTCCCGGTTGTCCCTCTTCCAGGTCAGCTCTCTGCTGTGGCCAGGGAGTGCAGTGGAGGATGTCCCAAGTGCTTGGGCCCTGCACCCCATGGGAGACCAGGATAAGTACCTGGCTCCTGCCATTGGATCAGCGCAGTGCACCGACTGCAGCGCACCGGCCGCGGCAGCCATTGGAGGGTGAACCAATGGCAAAGGAAGACCTTTCTCTCTGTCTCTCTCACTGTCCACTCTGCCTGTCAAAAAAAAAAAAAAAAAAAAAAAAAAAGGACTTAGACTCTGGACGTCTTTGAAAATGACCAGACAGAGGGAAACGTAGGCTATGAAGATAGGGAAAGAAAATAATAACTCCACGGATTTTGGTCTGAGCTATTAGAAAACAGGAGTCCTGGGGCCAGCATCATGGCATAGCAGATAAAGCCACTACCTGCGATGCTGGCATCCCATATGGCTAATGACTTGTAACCCCGCTGCTCTACTTCCAATCCAACTCCCTGCTAATGCACCTGGGAAAGCAATGGAAGATGGCCTGAGTACTTGGGCTCCTGCATCTATGAAGGAGACCTGGAAGAAACTCCTGGTTCCTGGCTTCCATCTGGCCCAGCTCTGGCTGTTGCAGCCATTTGAGGAGTAAAAGCAGCAGATGGAAGATCTCTCTCAATCTCTCTCTCTCTCTGTCTTTCACTCTCTCTCTGTAACTTTGCTGTTCAAATAAATAAATAAATCTTTAAAAGCAAATCCTTATGCGCTGAGCTGAGAAAAGATGGTGGTAGGAACGAGGTATTTTGGGGACAAGTGAATCTTGTACAAAAATGAGTCTCTAGACCAGTGCCGAGGTTCAATAGGCTAATCCTCTGCCTGCAGCACTGGCACACTGGGTTCTAGTCCCGGTGGGGGTGCCAGATTCTGTCCCAGTTGTCCCTCTTCCAGGCCAGCTCTCTGCTGTGGCCTGGGAAGGCAGTGGAGGATGGCCCAAGTGCTTGGGTCCTGCACCCACATGGGAGACCAGGAGGAAGCACCTGGCTCCTGGCTTCAGATCAGTGCAGCGCACCAGCCGTAGCAGCCGTTTGGGGAGTGAACCAACGGAAGGAAGACCTTTCTCTGTCTCTCTCTCACTGTCTAACTCTGCCTGTCAAAAAAAAAAAAAAAAAAGTCTCCCACATATGAGGCATGACCACCATAGGTTCATATGGCTCTGTGTGGATTAGAAGTGGCGTCTCTTCCTCTAGTGGACACAGTCCCGTGCGGGGGAGGGGGCACAGCTTGAAATGGGACATTGTGTCCGCATGAAGCCTTTGTGCCGTGGTCAGTCTTCACAGTCACATGCAGAGGCCCTACCTGAAGTGACCCTGGCTGATCAGAAGGACTCCTGACAGCAGGAATGGGGCCGGATAGGTACTTGCGGTACTTGCAGCCAAGTAAATTGAACTTAAAGAAAAATTGTTCATGTCTCATTTTTGTTCATATCTCATTTTTGTTAATCAACAGCTTGCCTGGCAGCTGCAAGGAAGCCTGTCTGTAAGAGTTCATTAGGCATAGAGGCAGAAAAATAATGTGAAGGGCTATTATTGTCTCTAGGACTTCAAAAGAGTGCTCTCTTGTTTTGAAGTTAGACGAGCTCCCTCTTACATGCTGAGAGCAGATAAGTTCTCTATATCAATCTCGCTTAATAGAGCGAATTAAATCAACAAAAAGAACAGCTTTGTTTTCTTCCAGATGTCTTATATTAACACTGATAAGGGACAGCCATTATTTTTTCTTTGAAGAAATTGTTCCAGATCTAAGGGCGTGCTCTGTCTTCTGTGACAACTCAGTGGTATGGAGAAGATAAGCAGGCAATTCATGGTTTTCTTTGGGAGGGGTTTCATGTTTGTTGAAGGCTATGGCATCTTGTTTATATTTTATGATCTCATTCGAGTCTCACAACTGCCGGAGGAGGTGCTGCTGGTGTGTCTTCCATTTTACAGCTGCGAAGATGAAGATGTGGAGGGTGGAAATAACTTTCCCGAGGTCCTCTAGTAAACATGTGGTAGAGCCTAAATGGAGAGCTGATTTACATTAGTTCTAAACTTCGTCCTCTCTGTCAAACGGTGTTTGTCGCGCTGACACCTTGGGTGTGAGACCTACAGTTCCAGAACCCCAGAACCTCAAGGTCACAGACGTCTGGATTTTGAAGGGAATAACTGCATCTACTTTATGCTCTTGCCCACGCCTGATACCTGGGTCTTCTCTAGTTGTCCTACATGAGATGTCCCCACCGACATCTCCAGCTTGGTCCTAGTGCTAATACTGGATGGTGGCATAAGAAAAAATTGGGTGAAATGATTAGAATATATGTTTTTGGGAGTTATTCCAGATCTGTTGAATCAGGATGTCTGTGGGTCAGGATCCAAAATGTACTGCTATTAAGTCCCCTGATAGCTTGGGTATGCAGTATGGTTTGGTCATTCCTGGTAGGTAGAGCCACATTCCAGTGATGGAGCAATGCACTGCCTATTCTCAAGTGAGCCGCACCCATCATCTATCCTTTCCAGTGTCTTTCCTTTATTCCTTCTCCTGGGCTAACTCTGGCTTTAAAGTTATTCCTCCTCCCTTCAGAGAAAAGCAGAGCTTTTTTTTGATGGCCCCTTCTTTCCCCTGGGGTCTCATTCACAGAAATCCTTCATGTAGGATCCCCCAACCCCTTTATTTTGTGACAGTGTCTTGGCTTTCCATTTCTGAAAGACTCTCATGGGCTTTTCAACCAGACCAGAATGCCTTAAGGGTGATCACTGAAGTCATACATAAGAGTGTTAATTGTTAAATTAACACAGGAGTCACTGTGACTTACTCCCCATGCAGGGCCTCTGTTTTTAATGAGTTGTATTATGAGAATTAGCTGTAAAACTTGTTCTCAAACAGTTCTTTATACTTTGTGTATGTGTGTGTGTGTGGGGGGTGAAAATTGTTGAAATCTTTACTTAGTATAGAGTTGGTATTCTGTATATAAAGTTAATTAAAGGGGCCGGTGCTGTGGCACAGTGGGTAAAGCCACCACCTGCAGTGCAGGCATCCCACGTGGGCACTAGTTCTAGTCCCAGCTGCTCCACTTCCAATCCAGCTATCTTTTGTGGCCTGGGAAAGTAGAGGAAGATGACCCAAGCCCTTGGGCTCCTGCACCTGCGTGCGAGACCCAGAAGAGGCTCCTGGCTCCTGGCTTTGAATCTGCACAGCTCTGGCCATTGTGGCCAACTGGGGAGTGAGCCAGCAGGTGGAAGACCTCTCTCTCTCTCTCTCTGCCTCTCCTTCTCCCTTTGTGTAACCCTTTCAAATAAATAAATAATTCTTTTTTAAAAAAAGTTCATTAAAAACAAAACGTAATGAAGAATTGGTTGGGAGAGGGATTAGGAGGTGGGATGGGAGTGGGTGTGAGAGGGAAGGTATCAGGGGAAGAACCACTATATTCCTGAAGTTGTACTTATGAACTTTGTATTCATTAAATAAAAGGTTTCTTTAAAAAAGTTATTGCTTATATTGCATTGAACTCCATCTCCTGGAAGTCTTTAGTTAGCAGTCCCAGTCCTACACAGAGCAAGTTTAACCTCTGCCACAGAGAGAGCCATATAAGAACTGAAGTCACCAACCATGTCCCTCAGTCTTTCCTGCAACAATATTCCTGGTTCTGTCACCCACATCTGTTATTTAGTGTCAAGTTCAATCCCGACTGCATCACGTTCTTCTGAAGCTATTTGGGTGTTCCATGTTCCTTTTAAACCATGCTATCCAGAGTGGAAACCCACTTTCCAGGCAAGTTGGGGCCAGCACCACACAGTAGGCTGTGTAAGGCTTTTTGGTTCCTGACTCTGCCTTCTTCTGAATGTAACTTGAAATTAGACAAGAAGTTCTGGGTCACAGAAGTACAGACTTCTAGGGAGCTACTCACCAAACTGCATTGTCCAGGTATTTTCAGCACATGCTGCTGATAGCTGGGTCTCCCAAGTCCTTCACTGTGCTATTTTTTTTTTTTTTTTTTGACAGATGGAGTGGACAGTGAGAGAGAGAGAGACAGAGAGAAAGGTCTTCCTTTTCCATTGGTTCACCCCTCAATGGCCGCTGCAGCCGGTGTGCTGTGGCTGGCACACCGTGCTGATCCGAAGCCAGGAGCC